TTTTTTTTTTTACAAAATTTCAAGGTCATCGCTATTTTTTGAAATGGAACTATATTTTTTTGTTCAATGTCCTTCTGGAGAGTGAAAAAACAAATTCAACGACCTCAATAACCATACCATTCCCTTTATTCAATTTCGAGATATTTGCGTTTAAAGATAATTAAAATTTCTTAAAGATTCACACGGTACACTGATTTACACATTCATATCCAATCATAAGTCTTACCTGTTATTGGAAGCGGTAACGGAAGATACTTTTACAGCTCATTGTGAATTCCAAAGGTTATAAATGCTCAAAATGATGGCCATTTGTTGCTATGCATAATTGGAATCTTTTGATCAATTCTTCATACGCTTTTTCTATTTCTTGCGTTGTTACGGATGCACATGCAGCTGTAATTCTCTTCTTCATATTATCTTGTTGGTTTCTCACGATAAACCATACTTTTAGTTTACCCCATAGATAAAAATTTAATGGGGTAAGGTCAGGAGAACGAGCTGGCCAGCTCAGTTTCACGTCGTCCAATGCAACATCCTCTAATCATCTTGTCTAACACTGTCCTTGCACACGTCGAATAAAGTGATGGGCAACCATCATGTAATGTTTACGTTCGAATACGAACGTGTGACTCGATGTTCCTGAGTAAATCTTTAGGAAGTTTTAATTATCTTTAGACGTAAATATCTCGAAATTTAATAAAGGGAATGGTATGGTTATTAAGATCGTTGAATTTGTTTTTTCACTCTCCAGAAGGATATTAAAAAAAAATATAGAGTTCCATTTCAAAAAATAGCGATGACCTTGAAATTTCGTAAAACAATGACCTTGAAAAAAAAAACCGTTGCCACGATTACATGTGTCCGCAGAAACAGTGTAACATTGTCCTGAGAAATTTTTTCATATAACAATAAATAAAGCAAATATTTAGGAGATCCCATTCAGCTGAGCCATCCTGTATTTTAGTATAAAACAGTACACGTTTTAATAATATCGTATTTACCTATATAAAAACAGATGCATAAGGTATTTAAAAAAAATAGAAAATATATACATATTCGAAAAAAGAGCATCTAAAATTTAAATATTTAAGTGATGCAATAGTTCAAGTTGAAAGTCATAATTTATTAACATTATTCGAAGAACTTATTAATATACTTTTTAAATCGTGTGATTTATACTTGATAGCTTGTCATTATTGATAACATATATTTCAATAATTCCTTCAATATATTACAATAACAGAAAATTGATTATTTTGTCGAACATATTACGTGTAAAACAATTAATAAGAAAATTTAAATTTACATATCGATCTCAAAAAAAACTACAGATTAATGTATTTTGTCAAACATTTTCCGTCAGGAAGGTATTCTTTTCCTCATTGGAAGTATGCATTGCATTTCCTCGAAATATACAAATTAAAGAAAAAACTGTTTATTAAACATACGTTCCAGCTAACATTTGTCCCATTGTACAAATTGAGGCACATGATGCCACAAGTTCTTTATAATCTTCTAAACCCATTACACGTTAACAGTTGCCTTCCTGAACACTCAGCACATACTATACAGAGATCGTTAGTTGCCAAGTCCCGTCAACGGAACAGCACAGGGGCAAGGGGACTAGGCCGCTTGCTCCACCTAACCCCCTCCAGGATTCTCATTTTTAGGCTCTAGTGATTCCAGGGCACAGTAGTAGAATTTTCGTATCTGCGGGGAATACATAGAACCGCAATGTAAATTAAATTTTTATATATATGTTCTCAGGTTGTGATTCTTTTCTTAAATATGTTATTATCTTTTGTTAAATATATTATTAAAACAAATTGTTCTTGTTTTTTTAAATTACAGCAATAGTAATTAATAGCAACAGGTTAATTAAAATTAAATTTCTTTTTGTCTATGAGCAAGACACCTTATCGCGCCAGTCATCAGTGTGACTCGAATGCTGTAGCGGGAAAGTTTACGTTACCATGTAACCATAGTATTGAAAATAAGAGATCTCTTTCGTTAAAAATTCGATGAGAGAGTAGAAAACGTAAACACAATTGTAAAAGAATCACAACAAAGAATAAATGAATATTCTTAGTACTTTTTGTTCTGTAAATAGTTAACGTTCTGAATCTATTACGTCTAAGTACGCCAATGTCACCAAGTTCGTCGCTTTCTATCGCTCCATCTCTTTCTGTTTCGATACTTCTTCTCGACGACTTCTGTCACACAATGGACTTGTGATATGATTGACTCGCCAATAATGGGAATACGTGTGACTGGATGTGGGGCAACTAATTTGATTCGACGGCAACTTACGATCTCTGCATAGTACTACGAATAGCTTCCCCACTATGAAACTGTCGAAATATCTGGAGATAAAGATTGCCGATTTTATTTCCATCTAAGTGTGGCGACCTCTACTTCCGCTCAGTCGCCCCACCGAAAAGTTAATTTTCAATAAAATTTTTATTCGCCGGAAAATAGGAAAAAATAGCGGCCTCTGTTTTCGACGTAGGCGGTGTTTTCAGCGTCACAAGGAAAAGCCTTCTTCCGTTTTGAGTAACCATGCCGTGTAATACAGTTTCCATTTCTTCCGTATCGCTAGAAGTGCCTTAGCTAATTTTGTATATTATGTGGCTCATTTGGTGCCCCGTAGTGTGAATACTGAGACGCGCCGAATTCAAATTGTGCAGCGGTATAGCTAAAGCAATGAACACAAAGACTCGACAGAACTCGATACATATACATATAATACATGCACGCACACACACACGTGTGTGTATATTGTAAAATTTCATTGACTATTATTTGCAATTGCTCGTTTAGATAAATGTTTATTGTCGTTGCTGCGCACAGAAACATTACTGAGACACATAAAACACTCGCTTTAAAGAAAATATGTATTAATAAACAAATGCGGGTACGAACAAAATTTATCCTTAAATAATCTTATATAGAATCTTTAATCTAACTGAAGATTATTATTTAACAAAAACATGTTAACATTGAATAATGAATATCGACGACGCCTGAAGATTCATTCGCTTTTTCTCGCTCAAAGGGTGTAGACATATTATTTTATAATAAAAGAAATAATTAAAACATTTCGTTCATCCTTATTCTTATAAAGTTATTTATTATTCTGTAAAAGATTCAGCGTTAGATTTTCTTATCCATTAAGTTTACTAAACGATCACAAGCAGAGAGCTTTGACGCTCCATGGGTGATAATTCCCTCAAATTCCTCAAAAATCACGCAACAATATATACTGTTACGTATCTTGCGGTAGTCACGGGAAAAGGGATAGTGGATTGGTACCCATGGAGCGCTGAATGCTCTGCTCGTGTGGTGCGGGAATATTCAAATAAACTGAGCAGATTTTCGTTTTACTAATACTTTTATATTATAAGACTATATCAAGATCTTTTAAGGATTACGAAATGACAAGACTCGAGATACAGAAACAAATGAATGACTTGGGAAATTTTTAGACACGAAGTCTCTCTTCGTGTTCTTCTCCCAGAATCTGGATCCTCCCCTGATCCTCTTTCCAGATCCTAGTGGTCCAATCGAGAGACAATTTCCACCCTATAGATCGACGTTTCTTCTCCCACACGTACTCCACCCCCGATCCTTCGTTAGTGGATGGCGGTAGCAGCGCTTCGTTGGTAGTGGTAGAAACGCAACGCCGATGTAACCGCCAACGTGATGTGCACGTGCGAGGGAAAGTGTGCGCACAGCGATTTGCGCGAGAACTAGCCCTTGACAATATTTATGGCTCTCTTAGAGTTTTAGCTAGTTGACTCGGCTGGATATCGTTGATATATAAAACAGAACGAAGAGCATACATTTCTGAGTCCCGAAACAAACATCCTGTCGTGAAAATCTACGTGGCTTAAACTTAAACTCTCAATTGGTTACGGTTCTTGAATAAAATCTTTCGACTATAATAACAAAGCATTTCCGTTCCCGAGTTCTAACTTTCCATCGCCGTACCACGCATCTAACCCTTAGACGATTTCCAGATACAGTCTATCTTTTTGGGACATACATTATTGACAATTCAAATTGCGCTCCAGCTGTGCGCGTCGATCTCTCTAGATTAAGACCACCCTAAAGCTATATTCATGAGCATGCATGACGAGTGATTAAAGCTACGTTCACGCGATAACGTAACAACACAAAAGTTAGTTTAATTTAGTTTAGTTTTAGCATTAAGTGTTAATTTCCGAGCATAGATCTGGTATTTAGTGTAAATAAAATATTTTATATTAACATAGTCATAGTAATAAACTAAGGAGTCAATGTGAAAAAAACTTGGTTTCATTGACCACCACGATAGGGAATTTCCTTATTACCCCAGCAACGACGCCACATAAAACACTAGTATCGCCCCACTGTGACAGAAGCACACATTTTTACACTTGCAATTAGCTTGTGATAAGATGGTAAGTCTATCCTGTACGTTGTCTGTGTCTATATCTTGTCTGTGATAATATCACAGACGAGATATAGAGTAGACCAATCAATCATCTTATGGAACTTTTTGCCACACAGTCTGAAATACCGACGTCGTCCAAAACTACTGATTTTGAAGCACACTCTACGCTTGAGAACGATTACTTTAAAAACGATCGATATTGGTCGTGTGTAGTGATCAGACCGATACCGAATCGACATTATCGATACTAGACCGTAAATTATGATACCGTATCGAATAGTATCGAAGACGTAAGTATCAAAAGTATTGATACTCCTTTGATACTTCTATGAAAGTATCGATACCCGTTCGATACTTTTATGAAGGTATCGATACCCGTTCGATACTTGTCAATTCCTGCCACTAGTAAAGCAGCGATATAACAAGAGTCCTAATCGATACAGTAGGATGATGGTAACCGGGTTCTAGGACCCCGTGGCACAGACGACATACGGGATAGACCTTGCATTTTATGAAACTTTTTGTCCGGGGCTTTAGGATCGAGAAGACCCTTACCATTTTCGTGTCGCTACCAACGTTACCGATTCTGTAAAGAATAAAATTAGAACATTAATAGTGGCTTGAATTACGACTTATTAGTTTTTTTGTTATTCACGAATAACGAATAATTCCAGATTATTCTTAATTTAAGACGATGTAACATTTGCCGCACCCGCGTTGCTGTAACATTTGTCGATACCCACGCTGTGCCAATGCGTTTGTTCACGATCGCGCGCGGATGAGTCTCTGCGCTTCCGTGCCTGGGCGCGAGCTCTACGCGCGCTCTGATTGGCCAGTGTTTTTCGTTAATAATTCAAAAACGAAGTTTCAACCAACATTTTGGTAAAGGAAAAAGTTGTCCAGAGTCACCCCAGCAACCCCCCATTTCCGGGTGTTACACTCTTTACGAAACACCCTGTATGTAAGTATCTTTATATGCAAATTTAATAAAAGAGGATTTTTTACATCTATCGATTTTACCGTCTTTGATGATTGAATTGTATGTAATTCCTAAATTCACTGCTTCTTATTGTAGAGGGCATAATAGAAACTCTGATTGTTTTACACGATCGATATATCAGAACGTTAGACACAAAAATACATTAGGTGTAAGGTCTATCCTATATCTCATTTGTGCCCGTGGTTGTGTGACAAAAAAATATATCGTATGAGTGGCTACTCTATATCTGGTCTGTGATAATATGAACTAAAATGTCGGTATATCAGTTACCAATTTACCGACACCAAATCAATGTCACACCTGCTTCGCTCAAACTTTGGACGGTTGATGTCAATATGGTTTTTGCACATCTCACTTGATATATACACCATTTTACATAGGATCATGGTCGTTGTGTGTTATGTTAATTCTAGGGATTCAGCAAAGCTACATGCCGTCAGTGTATATCCTCCTTGGTTGCAGCGGACACACTCATAAAGTTAGATCATACGCATTTTTACTATTGGCCGAAACGGTCACATCACTAATCCATCGCGTGACGGTCAGCGTCAAAGGTGGAGCGAGCGACTTACTCCCCTTATTTCTATGCCGTCCCGCTCGTCATCTTCTATGCGCCAGACTATGCTTTACCATGTGATCACAACGTGCTGTCACTCGCTCAAGGTTTCGCCGACGATTAACTGCGCGACAATGTACTCACCAGGAACAAGCTGAAATTTTTTGTGAATTCCGAGGAGCTCGAAACATTCGTGAATAAATCTACAAATAAAAGACAAATATTTAAATGGTGTGAATGAGATACATTTTAACACATGTTTTGTATTTTATTAATATTTGTAGAGACAAATTTAATACGTCAGATCTTTACAGGGTTAGATATAATCGAACACTTGGCTTTATACTTTTTGAATTATTAAGGTAATCAATATAATTTTTGTTTTTATGAATAAGCAGTTTACATATATATTCGTAACGACGAAATCAAAGATTACAATATTATCAACCTCTTACTTCAATCACAGACGAGGTGTAAGTGGTACATTCTATACCTTGTCCGTGCTTTAATTTTTAAACACACGCGTATCTACGTACTTACATACAAAGTTAAAAAGAATAATTACAACAATACATTAATTCTTGCATTTGTTATCCTTTCAGTTGTAATAATAATAAATTTACGTTTTATAAATTCTTAAGCATTATTTCATTAACTCCCATAAAAATTTTCTTTATGTGTACATGCAATGTATAATAAGTACGTACAGTCAACTTCGATAACACGGAACAAATCCCCCTGGTTTGCATTCGTTTTAAGTTTCGATACAGAACGACACTCTGAGAACATGGTATCCATGTAATACGAAACGCATTCCCCTAATTTCTATTAGTTTATGGTTTCCCTTAACACATCTTCGATACAACACGGACCGAATTAACCGTGTTATAGGAGCGTTGACTGTACTTACATTTATTCATTCTACTTAAATTTCCCTCCATGTTGGAATCCGTGAATGATTTTTAGAACTAGTTAGTTTACGTTCATAAAGTTACACTATGGCAGGTGTACAAACCACATAGAACTACATTATGGATCTTGTAGAAAGATAGTGTATGTTAAATGTGTGACAATGTGTGGAGCACAACAAAATTGAGGTTAAAATATTTAGTATTATCATTATAAACTACGAACAATGGCTTTTAATAAAGTTCTGATAACAAACCAGTATTGTTTGTGTATATGTATAATAAATTGTTTTCTTTTATCTATGGTATTGAGTGAAAGTGAACCTGTATATGATGGTAGATTTCAAATGATAATGACATCCATAGCAAGTATTTAATTTTATTCTTTGTATTAAATCGAATAAATTTATTGATAATAATATTTATAATAAATTTTAGAAACCAGAAGGTGTAATGTCTCCACAAATCACTTCAAAAAACCACCTTGGTTTTTTACATGCATTTATAGCTTCTTTGTCTGTCATTATAGTCTCTGAGTTGGGAGACAAAACATTCTTCATTGCTGCTATTATGGCAATGAAACATCCAAGATTAATAGTATTTGTAGGAGCAATCAGCGCCTTAGTTATAATGACTATCCTTTCAGGTATTGTTACACGTAACATCTTTGTTAAATAATTTCTTTTTCACATACAAATGTATACGATAGAATTCGGATATATCCGGCACGCTCGGAACATCTGCAATGCCGGATTATTGGACTACAGCTGTATAATCTGGTAAATGTAATGTTCTTCCGATGAAAAAATTAGTCCAAACACGATAAAAATCGGAATATTCATAATAATAATTAGTTTTAAAAGCATCCTTAATTGATTACCAGTATTGCTGCATGACGTTCATAGGGCATGATCGTGGTCTGGGCAATGCGTGCTGGACTATCGAATATGTGCCGAATCATTAGATGCCGGATTATAGGAATTCTACAGTACATCACTTATAATAATTTTCTTAGGAAGAAAAATAAAACAATAAAAATTATAATAGTTACATTTCTCTTTAATCTCCAGTAATTTTTGGATATGCTGCAACTATAATCCCTCGGGTGTACACACATTATATTTCTATTGTTCTTTTCACTTTATTTGGTTTAAAACTGTTACGTGATGGTTATAACATGTCTGCAAGTGAAACACAAGAGGAGATAGAAGAAGTACAGTCTGATTTAAGAAAACAAGAAGATGAGGTATTATTATTAAGATCAAAACATCAGAGAATTTTAGGTTTATTATTAACATTATTGTAGGTTTTGTAGAATAATTATTTAAATTTTTGTAAAAATTAAATAACTTCTAAATATTATCACTTTCAGTATGAGAAGGAAACAGGAAGCACATTAGTGCAGGATCCAGAAACTGGTTTTGTGAGAAAAGCAACAAAAATTAGTGCACTAATGTTTCTCTCTAGGATATTTCTTCAAGCATTTACGTTAACTTTTCTTGCAGAATGGGGAGACCGTTCACAACTCACAACTATTATACTTGCAGCAAGAGAAGTAAAAAACAATAATATTTAAAACTTAACACAAAAAAACTTATTATTGTAGCATTGTATATAAAGAAATTTTTATTTTTAATTAAAACAAGAAAAAATACTAAAAAAAATGTATTACTATTAGGATGTTTATGGAGTCGTAATAGGTGGAATATTGGGACATTCATTTTGTACAGGAATGGCAGTATTAGGAGGCAGAATGATTGCTCAGAAAATTTCAGTACGAACAGGTAAAGCATATTTTTTTCTATATAACAGAGTAAATATTTTTAGAGGAATATCAAATTTTATGATGTAGATATACTAAATAGAAAAGACTTATTAAATATTACTGATAAAATCATTAAATCTGAATAACAAATTGCAAATCCTTTTATTAATTTATAGTGACAATACTTGGTGGATTAGTGTTCCTACTATTTGCTGTAACAGCACTTTTTGTCAATCCCACAGAAGATATATAAAAATAATTTACATTAAATTTTATCCAAAAAGTATTTATATATTTAGCATATTATGTTTAAAATTGTATTGATATGTGTAAATTTTTATTAATGTTGAGAGAATTATAAAATTAAATTTGCTGTAACATTAGTAACTATTTGCTGTAACAACACTTTTTGTCAATCCCACAGAAGATATATAAACATAATTTACATTAAATTTTATCCAAAAAATATTTATATATTTAGCATATTATGTTTAAAATTATATTGATATGTGTACATTTTTATTAATGTTGAGAGAGTTATAAAATTAAACGATACAACATATCAAGCATTAAGCAGTACTTTATAATGTAAAAATAATAAATACAATCATTGTAAGATATTTTATTGATTACTTTATGTTAAGTGTATATACACAGTCTATTTACACTACGCAAGTTTATCAAGAAATCTTTAAAGACATTTATATTAAATTATCATTATCATTTACTAATACTGTGTTATTTTATTATGAAAAATTAACGTATTATATCTACATTCATATACCGGGGTTGTAAATATGGAGAAACATTCTTTTTATAGTACGATTAAATTTTAATTAAATAATAGACAATTGTAATATTTCTTGTATAAATATAGAATTAACGAAAAAAATGACTTATAATATGTAATAAAAAGTGGATTTATTTCAAAAGAAGTAACGAAATATAAATCGGCTGTAAAATCAGTCTAAAAAGAGCATAATGCTAGCTTCTTACAGCTTAATTATCATTTTCAAATACTAATAAATACGAGTAGTATAACACGTTCGCAATTATTTTACGTATTGTAACATATAAACTTCATGTAATTAGTAGCATTATAACGTACATGTAGTTACTAAGAAAATCGAACATAAATGCTACAATTAATGTTGCACTGAACAGTATAACGTTACGTACATTAGGTACGATGATTAATCTTCATGACTATGTGCTATTTACTTAATATTGTGTTGTATGTATTATTCATTCTTAATCTTGTTATTTAAGCACTGCAATCCTGTAAAATATAATTCATCTATTCATATAGATAATAAATATGTAAGACATTCACTATGAATACCTCTTTTTATAAAAGACTAATTAAAAAACAAAAAAAAAACATGTTTTAGTTGCTTCAATTTGAATTCAACTTTTCTACTCACAATACTGATTCATCGACGTAATTATTTATATTTACCACATATATGATAATGTTCGGTCAATGTTTACTGCAATCTGATCAACTAACTTTTAAAGACCCATACCCACCAATGTTTTTTGTGGATTGTCGATCACATAATTTATCACTGAGCTCGGTTAAATGAGCAACTCAGAAGCCAAAGTGAGTAACTCCATTAAATTAAATGTATTAAATTTTTCTTATTTATGAAAAGTTGACCACTGAATATAACATACGGGCGCGCCAAAATGTCCAATTTGAATAAGCCTGTGACTATCACGGGCTCAGTCAATACGCTCGCCTTTTGGCGGTTTTTTTACTCTAGCCACTGATATTTATAAATCTAAAACACATATATTGCCTTTCTAACACTATCCCTTGTATATTAAATGAATAAACAATGATAATATCCACAATCTTTAAGCCAACATCTATTATGCATTTCTTTATTCTTTGAATGACCAGCGTTCAGTAATCTTCTTTCTTATAGTGTCATCCCTTTGATAGTTTTGAGTTTTATTTTCTTCTTTTTACTGTTATTATTGTTATTTTTTATTAAATTTTGCTAAATTTTTTAATAAATTTTAGTATTTAAAATAAAATA